CGGCAGCTGGCGGCGTAGCCCCGGTTCTTCAGGGTGCGGCGGCGCTGCTTCAGCTTTTGGATCTCCTCGCGGGACAGGCCGCGCAGATGGAGGTTCAGCTCTCGTACTGACAGGGACATGAGCTCGCTGTCCGAAAGGATGGGCACGTTCTCACCACATTCCTGCTTCACCTGAAGAGGAAGAGAAAGGGCGATAGGAAAGGAGGAAACGTGTAGAAGGAAAAGAAGAAGAAAAAAACAACCAATGGTGTTAAAAATTAACCGATAGGGAGGAAAGTAAGACTTCTTTTCAACCCTGACATTTTCCCTTTTGTAAAAATAGAGACAATAAAACATTTTCTTTCCGGCCGGGTGTTACCTTCAGGGCTTTGCTGCTTCTTTCTGTCGTCATGATCCGACTGTCTTCAGTTTTTTCCCCCCCAAACAACAGTCAACACGGATACAAACACTCTGGAAGAACAAAAAAAAAAGGTAAGTTATCACATGTGACTCAGAACATCATGCTGTTTTGGTCCGAGTCTGGCTTGACATTTACCATCCGCTCACAAGACAGCCAGTCATGCACGATAAAGAAAAGGAGAACCCGCAGATCTTTCATGCTTCTCCAAATGCGCTCTCTCTCATTAAAACTCTGCGGCTTGATATGAAAGGAAGAGGAGGTTTTGAAAGCGACATGCCTTTTCTCGGTTTGCTGGAATAGCGAGGAGGAAGTTGTCGTGTGTCTGCCCTTTGGTTGCTCAAAGCAGGTGTCCTAACCAATTCCCTCAACACTTCCTCTTGTCAACACAACACCAACGGTTCAAAAGCTTCACTGTGACAAAGGCTGACGATGGACAGGAAACTCATTTTGTGGGACGAAGTTCTCACTGTTTCACGTGATATCAAGTGAAAGGGAACGTCACGACAACCTCTTCATATTGAACGGCTGAAATTCTTCTTAAATTCTTTAAATCATCCTCCAACATTGCTCTTTTTCTGATCTTTTATTGAAAACAGGAGACTAAAACACCAAGATTGCCTTTCTTTGCGCACCCTTCAATTGCTGCCTCCAGTAACAAGCTGTAATAACAGCAGTACATGTGTTTGCTTAAGTCTGTACCGCCTTAACACGACTGTATTTGGACATTTTCTCCCATTCTTCTTGCTCAACGCTTCACACAGACCATGTGGGGACTTCCTACACTCCTCTTAAGGTCAGGTCGCAAGTGTGTGGGATTAAAGTCCAACATCGCAGTGGGCTAACTTGAACAGCTTTTCCCCCCCTAGTCACTTCTTGGTTCATTTGGCTGTGCGCATCAGATCACTGTCATGTTGATAAAATGACTCTGCGCTTCAGCTTGAGGCCATTTTAGCTGGATTAATTCGCCTCCGTCCTGACCAGAGCGCGCAGGATAAACACGGCCACGTAGCGCGCTGATGAGAAAGCCACACCGTGTTGACTGTATAGCAGAAATATCTCTACACATTAACATTTCATTGAGACCGACTAGTTTTACTTTGACATCATCAAACCACAGGGTGTTTTCCCACGTTGCTTTTTGTAGAGTGGATATGTTCACTTTCAGATTTATTGCAACATTGGGTTTTCTTTTTTAGATTGAATAGTTTCATTATAGCCCAGGAGTGTTCATGCAAAAATGTTAACAAGCAAGGTTGCATAATGACAAAAGCCCAGAAGACGCTTTGGGGGGTTAGGGTTGACCTTTAGGCAGCTGTACTGATGAGCTAACTCATTGCACTTTCACTTTTCTTTGAGAAACCGGCTGATTAAGACAAGATAATGCTGTAGGCACAATCTGTGTTGGATATCTGGGTGTATTTATGATCCTTGACACCTTTTCTCATCCATTTCCTCTTGTAAATATATCAACAACATCTTGAAGAGAGCCTCTGTTGTGATAATCTTTTGAGTTTTAGAGAATTTAACAGGTTGATTGTGAATTATTCAAGATTATTTCAAGTTACGGTAAACTGGTTTTCTGCCTGCTTTTGAATGTGACACGCTGACTTTCCATTACGTTTACGACCCCCCATTTATAAAAGGGCATTACACTTCTGTAAATGGGTTGATTTCATTTTCAGTTTGACAACTCAGCGTTTATGTGTTTACCTCGGTTTGCTTGTCACTGAACAGCAGGACTCAAATCTGTCCAACCTATATGAAGGTGTAGACAGGGTGGCCAACATAACCAGGGCATGTAAACAGAACTTCATTAGCGCTGCTCTTCAGCAACATTTCATAAAGCATAAAGACTCCCAATAAGGCCACCATGCAGCCGGGGCAGGAGGAGGAACCATACAAACAAAAGGAGCCATTTAAGTTACAAAGTCACATTTCCTCGGTTCCATTTCTTGAGTCCATCTACGAAACCAAAATCCAACCGTATGTACAAACCTGACTTCATAACAGCACATATGGGCTTTAACGGCACATGTAGGCCTTCGACACACGCACAGGAGGTGTTTACCAATACAAGCTAAATAAAACACCTGTTCAAATGGTCAGTAGTTTGCCGACAACTGAATACATTTCCCGAAATGCGTGGGTAGTGGAGGTTACAGCAACAGTGGTTGTCCGACAGCCGACAGACTCCGGCTGTAAACCGAGGAGACCGCCGCCGTTTCGTAAAGTCAGGGTGATTCAGCAATAAACGGTTTGCTCAGCTCTGCCAGGACTGCCAGTCAGTCCAAACCCAAGAAAAACAGCTGTGACCACGTCTTTCTGTATTTGTCCAAACAGCACAGGATATCCACGTTTGTTCTTTACTATAAATATCACTTTAGAGGACATAGTACTCCTTAAGTAACGTTACCACCGCGGAACGCAACAAGTGAACGCAGCACTGCCAAACGACAGCTACAACCATAGTTTATCACGTTAAACGCCCTCATTTCTATTCTGTTAGATATTAAATGACTAAATAACAAACAGCTAATACAGACCACTCCTGGAAACGGGATTTATTCCTCTGGCTACATCCAGAATCCACCCTTATCCTTATAGGGAGAGGAGCTGGCCAGCTTCGGGGTAAAGGCGCTGCTGCTATAACGTTAGTAAACAGCCATCACGAGTGCCCTCGACATCCATTTTAGTAAGACTTTAAATAATACATTTAAATTATTTTAAGGCACGCCGTTAAATAAGGAAGTGAGAACCTTCCTGGCTGTCAAATGTTACGAGTCGAGACGCATAAACATGAAGAGCGGGGCCAAATTATCCGCATCATCTTGAACATGCTAGTAGTGTTAACTGTTAGCAGCTAGCATGAACGGTTAAAGGAGCTAAAGGAGATTAAAGCAAACAGCTGCCTTGTCCTTGGTTGGTTGGCCACTTCCCGGCGTATACAAGTCCGCTGGTGTTCGACTTACTTCAACGGATTTCAGATAAACATTTTGACCTTTAATATTTAGTTTAAAAAGGGATAATTTACCTGCTGGATCGAAGCGACTCTGGCGACAAAATGTCAGTCCGCCTTTTCCCGGAATTACTCCGCTGCTCTCTGAGGTTGGATTCCTTCATTCATAAAAAACACAAGCGACAATGACGTCAGGCCTAAAGAATGAGGGCGGAGCTAACCCCGCCCCCGCGGCGTACTCCGGGACGATGTAAACAAGGAATCCCTGCATCCCAGAACTTTTCCATGACCAGCCCCCCTTCGGTATTCCCAGAAACAACAACAGCTTATCTGGAAAAAGCTTTAGTGACACTGTTACCACATTTAGCCTGATATGATGGTGACGTTAGAAAATCTGCAGATCCAACAATAAAACCAAATACTGAATCTAAAACTCTGAGATAGGCAAAGCTTACACTGTACGGGTTGTATGATAAAGTATATTGATGGCAGAGTCTATTTCACTACTGCGCCACACATGTAGAGGTGGTCCATCATGTGTTTGTTTTTCGAACTAACAGGAAATTATAAGGGCGGGTGGCTTTTTGAAATTATTTAATTATAAGTTATATTCAGCTGGGTATTGATGTTTCCTGGAGCCTTACGTAGCTGCCAGTAAATAAATAAAAAGATGAATGGAAATCCACAGGAGAAAAGCATTTATCAAAAATCACCTACTTCAGAATATGACTACATAGAAGAATAGAAGAATATCTATAAATTGCCAAAAGATATCATTAATATATCTGCAGTTACTAATTTATGTTGAACATTAGATATTGACAAACTACTTTATACATTTTGAGTGAGGTTTATTGGTTGGTCCTAGGTGGCTGGTAGGCTGCCTTTGAACTTGTACTTCGTATATATAACAATATATGTTTGGTTGTTTTTTTTGTCTTTGTTTGTTTGTTTTTTGTTTTGTGTTCTGCTTTATATATTTTGTTGTATTCTTATGTGGTTAATTGGTTTAGTTTGTATTAAAAAAAGAATGTATGTATGGCTGTACATGTATATATGGGTATGGATGTATGTAACATTTGTTTATTTTCCAAATTTGTTT